TGAGGCACTGGGTTCAATCCTCAGCATGACATAAAAATAAAATAAGAGATATTGTGTCCACCTTAAAACAAAAACAACAACAAAAAACCCCTAAAATATATTTTTAAAAAATGTAATACTGAGACGTGACTTACAAATAACGGCATGTTTTAGTCTACTGGTGATGCTTTTTACTTAGAGATATTGAAATAATGGGCACCTTAAAATTGATGATATCTCATAAATGATGAAGCCCAATATATTGGGAAGATGGGAAAAATTTTTATATGTTTATTTAAGAGAGCTATATATATATATTTCTTTAGCTCTAGAATGTAAATCTAACAATGCCTAAAATCTTACTTTTTAAAGAAATATGAAGAGGTCTGCACTCAAAAATATTGTAGGATGTAGTATTATAACTTGCTGATATCTACTCTCCACTATTTCAGAGGCTAAGTTTATCAAGTTAATTATAGGGTAGTAAGTAGAAATATAGCTTTCTACTTATTAAGCTGATTGACTTTAAAGACATGTAAAAGTCAAAGAACATTTTATTGACCTTGTATAATACAGCTTTATTATAAGTCCTTTAAAATAAGGTATGCTGAAAACTTCACAAGTTAAAACTATGATAGAAATACTAAGTATAAATAAAATTTAAAATAATAGCCCTGAAAACAATGCCCATAAACACAGTTCCAGAAAGTGAGAGAATCACATTGATTCTTCAGTGATTACCTTTTCTTTGTAGACACCTTTAACAACATCAGACATTCTATTCTCCAAAACAAGTTCACCTGGCATCCTTGATGAACTTCCAGGTAATGGAGGAAAATTTGAAGCTAGTAAGTCAAACTTTGGTGTTGGAGCCTTTGTTTCAGCTGTTGAAGGATGGGGTCTCTAAAAGACACAAATCAAACAGGTCATATGCCTATTGAATTCTCTAATATTTGTGCTGTACCACTTGAGCCACAATCCCAGCCTGCCTATTTATCTTTAGATAGCTCTCTCTTCTGTTCTTTTTGCAAACTGCCACACTCCTTAAAATTCTGAACCAATATCTAGTGTTCTTCAGTTTCTGTTTGCAATTCCCCATTCTATTAAATAAAAACAAAAACCCTAATCCTACCATGCCATCAGTTTTACTCTATCCTAATGGAGAACAGCCAGGAATGATGGTGCATGCTGGTAATCCCAGAAACTTCTAAGGCTAAGACAGGAAGATAGCATAGACTCTTCCTCATTCTATCTCATCCCCTCTTCCCTGGACCCTGAACTCAACATTCCACTGCACAAGATGTCAATGCCTTTCACCACAAAAATCTGGAAGTCAGACTATTTTTACTGACTTCATTATATAGCATGTGGCATGATTGCCCTTCTTTCTTTTGGGAATGTACTTTCTTCTTTTTTGCAATGCTGATGATCAAATGAAGGCCTTCAAACATGTTCAGCAAGTGTTCTACCACTGAGCTAAAACCCTCGCTCTGGGAGTTTGTTGTTTTTTTATTTTATTTTATTTAGCTTTAGTGGTCTTCTCTTTGTTTCTTCTCAGATCTGAAAACCACATGCGCTTTTCTCATTCTGATTTGTTAAATTTTGGTTTCTATTCTTTTTACTTCCACATTTTCCATGGGTTACCCATTATTCATGGATTCAGATACACTGATATGTGAACAGCTGTATCTCTCCTTTTTTTCCTTTGACTTGGGATTGGCACTTAACCACTTAGCCATACCCACAGCCCTTTTTGAGACAGCCTCGTGATAAGTTGTTTATGGGCTTGCTAAGTTGGTGAGGCTGGCTCTGGCAGCCTGGCAAGCAGAAAAGACTTAAAACAATCCTTTTCCTTTTTGGTGGCCATGGCAGCACAACTGAATTGTACATTTTAAATAAGTTTCAGCCCAGGCCCTTTTTACATTCAGATTTCACTTGGATAATTCAAACAACATACTAAAAACTCTTGCTTTTAGTCCAAAAGTCACTACCACATTCCCTAAAGTTTCATATTTGGACTTCTTTTATTACTGTTCACAGGGTAACTTGTGAGAATTTTATCTAATCTTATTATTTCAATTACTAAGTTTACAAATATTAAAATTTTAGGACCTCTAGCTAAGACCTCCCCTCTTATACTACAAGGTGTGTTTATCATCTTTTCCTTCACCCCAAGGGTTAGTCCTTAATCCAGACATTTTCAACATGTTAAAGAGATCTAATCTCTCTCTTCCTCAAATGTTGAAGGCCACTTAAAAGACTATTCTTGGTGTTTTAGTGCAATAATTTTCTTCTTTGAATATTATTCCTTTTCACTGTAAAACATACATGTAAAATAAGCATTGTATTACACATTTATGATACATCTATAAATCTGGGGTGGGGGATCCTTGAGGCCTCCATGCTTTTTTTAATTCTTATTTTTGGCAGTGTTGGCATGCCAAAAAGACACTACCACTGAGCCACATCCCCAACCCAATCTCCATGCACCGTTATTCCTCAACTCTTTTTGCCTCTAGATTAGAGACAATGCAAAATTCACTAAGAACAAATAATGGAAATAAAAATGAGTAATTGAAACTGGACAAAATTCAAACATGATATATAAAAGAATCAGCAATAGGCAGATAATTACCCCATTAGAAAAATTAAATAAAATAAAGGTATTGTATCTAACTACAACTAAAAAATAAATATTAAAAAAAAAAAAAAGAATGAAGGCAGGCTAGGGATGTGGTTCAGTGGATGTGTCTTCAGTGGTAGCTCAGTTGGTATAGTGCTTGCCTAGTATTCACAAAGCCCTGGGAAAAAAAAAAAAAAAAAAAAAAAAAAAGAATACTATCCCCTCTGTGATAAAAAACAATTAATCAAACATATACTGCATTAGGCTATAGATAAAAGAAACTTTGTTGTTCATGGAAGGAAAAAAACCCCCCAAATGACAGCTCCTACAGAACGTTATCTGGCAGCAATTATTGAATTGTGATCCAGAAATGCCACTCCAAGGGATTCTCCTTCAGATATAATCATACCTATGAGAAATGATGATATTATAAATAATGCAATAAATTTTCATATTTTTAAAACTATATTAGGTATTCAAATAATTTTTTTGAAAAGAGAACATCAAAGAATTGTAACTGGGCTGGGGATGTGGCTCAAGTGGTAGCGCACTTGCCTGGCATGTTCAGGGAGCTGGGTTCGATCCTCAGCACCACATAAAAATAAAGATGTTGTGTCCACTGAAAACTGAAAAATAAATACTTAAAAAAAAAAAAATCTGTAACCATGTGAACTTGAGAGCGTTTTTGTGACGGGTGATGGTGAATATTCTGGGATGAAAGTCAGGCTCGATTCACTTTTCTTGGGGTGTGGGTACTGGGGATTGAACTCAGGGGTCCTTTATTACTGAGCTATATTCCTAACCCTTTTTTATTTTTTAGACAAGGTCTTGCTAAGTTGTTGAGGATGGATTTGAATTTGTAATTCTCTTGCCACAGCCTCCCTAGCTGCTGGGATTACAGGTGTGTGCCATTATATCCAGCCCTTTTTATTTTTTTGAGACAAGCTGTAAGTTGCTGAGGCTGGTCTTGAACTTTCAACCCTGGCTGGTGCAGTGGCACATACCTGTAATCCTAGAAGCTCGGTAGGCTGAAGCAAAAAGATCACAAGTTCAAAGCAAGCTTTAGCAACTCAGCAAGCCCTGTCTCAAATTAAAATATAAAAAGGGCAGGGGATATGGTTCAGTGGTTAAGTGCCCCTGGTTCCATTCCCAATACCCCCCGCCCGCGCCCTGCCCCACCAAACCAAAACCCAAAAACAGGCCTGGGGTTGTGGTTCAGGGTAGAGTGATTGTCTCGCATACATGAGGCACTGGGTTTGATCCCCAGCATCACATTAAAAACAAACAAACAAAACAAAACTAAATAAACAAAATAAAGGTATTGGGTCCAACTACAACTAAAAAATATTTAAAACAAAAACCAACAGAAAAAACCCAAACACCTCCCCAAATTTGCAACCCTGTCTTAGCCTCTCATGGAGTTGGTTCACCCAGCTTCTATTTTCCTTTACTAAATACTAAAACCAATGAAAAGGCAGACCACAAGTCAATGCCATAGTAAATCACAATAGAGAAAACAAAACAAACAAAAAGAAAGATGTAATTAAAGGTTAAAAACACTCACTGGGATTCTGTCATCTTCTCGTCGTCTTCGACCTCTGAAAACAGTTCTCCTTTTAAAAACAAAAAAGAAGGTGTTGGGGACAACTTGTAAGATTCTTCAAATATACACAATCTAACAGAGATGGAGAGATTTCTAGTTTAACTTATATTCTAAATCCACCAAAATTAAAAGATATAGTCTTCTGAAAACAATCTGAGCTTATATACCCAAAAGCTTACATATTACCACCACCACCAATTAGCTGGTTCATTTTTACTATTTTTTTTTTTTTTTGCTCTCCATACCAGAAGCATATCAGAGTTTAATTTAGGCAAGGTAGGCACTATAATACCCATTCCTACAGTTTATACTTAGAATAACTAAAACCCTAAGGCACAAAGATGGATAGCCTATTTTTCTAAGCTGCCTTCTCCTTGGCCAACTATAAAGAACTTCAAAATATAAATATCTGATCATAGTGGCTGGGCGTGGTGGCAAATGCCTGTAATACCAGTGGCTCAGGAGGCTGAGTCAGGAGAATTTCAAGTTCAAAGCCAGCCTGAGCAATGGTGAAGAGCCAAGCAACTCAGTGAGACCCTGTTTCTAAATAAAATACAAAATAGGACTGGGGATGTGGTTCAGTGGTTGAGTGTCCCCCCAAGTTCAATTCCCAGCACCCCACCCCCAAATTCTGATCATAGTTATTCTATATGGATACTCTATATTTCTTAATTATTTTTAAAATCTACTGGGAGGTTGGGGTTGTGGCTCAGTGGTAGAGTGCATTCTGAGCACATGTGAGGCACTAGGCTTGATCTTCAACACCACATAAAAAATAAGCAAAACAAGGTATCATGTCCACCTACATCTAAATACATTAACAACAAAAACAAAACCAAGTAAACACCCACTGAGGTTAGCCATTACAGTGGCTGATGCTTGCCAAGCATGAAGCCCTGTTTTAGATTCCCAGTACTCTAACAACAGAAACAACAACAACAACAAAAATCTAAAAAACAAAAATTATTAACCGATGATAAACTGTTTATTTCCATAACCACATGCAAATAATTGTTAAACCAACAACATCAATCATTAGTCATGGTCTTTAAAAACACAGAATGATTGTACTGTGATCAAAGAATTTTCATACACCCATATTTTCTTACCTGCCCCTACCATAGTCCCCATTCTGTTCCATCTGTAAAACAGGAGTCTCCTTGGGAAGGTGAGTTTGCTCCTGATGCCCTATTACTGTAGGGTTATGCCGTTCGGGTGGAAAGTTCCTTGAACTAGATCTGTTCAATGGTCCATCCCCCAATGACACAGAGCCCTCTGTTGAATGTTCTGAACCACTGGATGACCTAAAATGAGGCTTCACACTATAAGAAATAAGATCATATACATCAAAAGATGTATCAAGACAGAAAAAAGCCTTTCTTTGTACTCTGGTTGTCATATAGTGAAAATGTTACCTGTTTTATGTCTTACATATAATATTTTCAAAAGGCAAAAGGATTTCTGTTAAAGAAATTTGTTCAAGGAGAGATTTGGGAGAAAATCCAAAGTTCTTTGGAGAAAAGAAGAAGAAGAAAAAAAAACTATTGTCTTGATATACCTATATCAGCCAGGTTAAAAATATCTGTGCCATGAACTCTCAATAAGGGGAAAACCACCAATGAAAGTAAAAATTGGTGGGGTTGTGGTGGGGGAACAAAAAAATTTGCACTCATTTTATGTGTAAGGCTTAGACATACATTACACAGATATACTATAATCTGTAATATTAAATTTTCATAGGAGAAAATTAGTAAAGATGCTTGAAAAGTCTCTTTATGGGAATGACAATGACTAGGGTGAGAAATAGTAGACATACTAAAATCTCAGCCTTCACCAAATGCAATCAGTTGCTCAAAGATCCAAATGTGGAACAGAAAACTACAGAGAAATAAAGCCAACAGTCTGGCATGTGTCATGAATTAAGGTATACAATATGTTAAAAAGCACTGCTGCCCCCCCAACCCTGCTTCTGCACAAATAGCTTTTTTCTTGGATAAAAACTAGGAGAATCCAACTTCCTAAAAAATCTGTAAATAGATTAAGCTAAGGTAGCATAACAGAGAAAAGATGCAGTTTAATCAACAAGGCAAACACCTAAAGTAAGCCTAAGCAACTGAGGATCTTGGCTCTACAACAGAATAACAAGGAAGCGTGAGATTTGTATTGGCCCATGACTTACAATCTTTTATAATATGTTTTCATAAATACAAACTGATAATATTAATAACATTTTGCCAATTTCCTAAGCTCTCGGAATAGGGACTGAAAATCATTTATAAGCCCCAAAATTAAACATTAATTTAAATGGCACATAGAGCTATTTTATTCTCCAGAGACCATGATAAATTAGGCTATTACTATTAAAATTTAAGATAAAAAATCAAGGTACAATGACACTTCAGAGAATTTATTTTGATAAGCATCTTGCTAAGATGTAGAGCTTAACCTTGAACTTGAAATAAAACCAACAGTCTGGTATGTGTCATGACAATCTCCTGAAGTTGCTAGGATTATAGTTGTGCTTCAACATATCCAGTGAAAATAGATTGGGTAGGGAGGTAGGGGTACAATTGGGGTTTAAACCTAGGTATTTAACCACAGAGCCACACCCTTAGCCCTTTTAATTTTTTTATTTTGAGACAAGGTCTTGCTAAGTTTTTGAGGCTGGCCTTCAACTTGTGATCCTCCTGCCTCAGGTTCCTGAGCTGCTGGGATGACAAGTGTGCGCCACTACACCTGGCAAAAATAGGTTCTTCAATAGCAATAAAAATTACAGTATGTCACCTATCAGTTTTTTCCAAAATATTTATTATCTAGCATATCTGAAAATGACCTCAAGATAGATTGATAGATTATTTACATATCTGTTCAGAAACTATCATTCACCAATTTTCACCTTGTATACCAATAAGCCTAATGGACAAATTATTTAGTTTAAACAGCCCTCAGATCTCATAATCTTACCCTTCATTGAGAGGGACTTACAATCTCAATCCAGGCAACAGAAAAGAGAATGAAGAAAAGAAGTGATAAAGCCAGAAGAAAAGGGGAAGTGACAGAAAGATAGAAAAATGCCTGGATTTTTGAAAGATAGTCCTATTCTCTCTAAGTAGGACTAGTGATCATCATTGGGCTATTCTCAAAGTTATATCAAAAATTGTAAAATGGCTCTAATAGTTACTTCCTCTTTGATTGCTAACACTAATTTAAAGGAAAAAGGTACAAAAGCCTGACAGTTGTCACGTCATATAATAAACAAAAGAAGTATTATACTGTTGGTCAAAAAGTTAGTTTCATTTGTAATGTTTGCAGAAATATGAAAAAAGGTACTCACATATTATTTTTATAATTAAAAACAAACCACAACCACTGTTGCTCAAATACATGGAAAAAAACCATACTGTGGTTTTAAAAAACTTGCAAAATAATAATAAACTTGCCTATATGCTCAAAACCATAGGTGAATCTCTTTTTTGAATAAAGGTGACTACTTTTCCCGGCTTTCTAATTGTAAATGTCATCCCTTTCACCAACAAGGCACAGTAGACAAAATGGGGGACAATAAAGGAAGAACAATGAACCCACCACATTTTTAAAAAAATTAACAAAGGACCTAAAAACAGCATATAACAGGGACACAGCCACATCAATGGTTACAGCAACACAATTCACATCTAGATTGGTAGAGCCAACCTAGATGTCCCTCAGTGGATGAATAGATTAAAGTGAAGTTAGCCAATCCCCCAAAAACCAAATGCCAAATGTCTTCTCTGATATAAGGGAGGTGACTCAAAATGGGGTTGGGAGGGAGAGCAAGGGAGGAAGATTACCTGTAGATAGGGAATAGGGGTGGGAGGGAAAGGGAGGGAGAAGGGGAATAGCACGGATGGTGAAAGGAGATCCTCATCATTATACAAAATACATGTATGAAGATGTGAATTTGGTATCAACATACCTTATATACAGAGATATGATAAATTGTAGTATAAAGATGTAGTAAGAATTGTAATGCATAAATAAATAAATAAATAAATATTTTAAAAGAATTAACTAACTATATTGGCAGTGCCAGAGATCAAATCCAGGGCCTCACACATGCCAGGCCAAGTTCTTTTTTTTTTTTTTTTTTTTAAAGAGAGAGAGAATTTAGTTTTCGGCGGACACAACATCTTTATTTGTATGTGGTGCTGAGGATCGATCCCAGGCCGCACGCTATTGCTTGAGCCACATCTCCAGCCCTGGGGCCAAGTTCTTTATCACCAACTTCAATACCCAGTCCCGTATTTATTTTTAAGGAACCAGGGATTGAATGCCCAAGATGTTTTTCTTTATTTTGAGACAAGGTTGCTTAGGGCATCACCGAGGCTGGCCTTGAATGTACAATCCTCCTTTTGCAGCCTCCTGAGCTGTTGGGATTACAGGTGTAAGACAGGACACCCACCTTTATTTATTTGTAACATGAGCATCTGAAAAGATCAGCACCAGCCCGCTCAGTTAAAAATAACTTTTAGTCTACCTAATAACAAATACCTGTTCTACTTAAAGTGTTTAAAGCAGAAGTGACACCTTCAAAGAACTATATGGGGAATCAAAACCTACTTTTTTTTTTTTTTTTTAAAAAAAAACAGATCTACTACCTCTAATCATGACCAATTTGTTATCTTAATTTCGAAATTGTATTGATTTCTTTTTCTTCTTTTTGCAGTACTGAGGATGGAACCCAGGGGCACTCTATCAATGAGCCACATTCCCTGCCCTTTTTGTTTGAGACTGGATCTTGCTTAGTTGCTTAAGACCTCACTAAGAGGCTAAGGCTTGCCCTTGAACTTGTGATCCTTCTGCCTCAGCTTCAGGAGTATTAGGGTTACAGGTGTATGCTACCACACCCAGCAATTGTGATTTATGCTATTGGAAATATTTTTCAAAAAATAGTTTTAATTGTAGATGGACACAATACCTTTATTTATTTGTATGTGGTACTATGAATCAAACCCTGTGTCTCAAATATGATAGGCAAGTGCTCCACCACTTAGTCTCAACCCCAGCCTCCAATGGAAATATTATTATTTTTTGGTACCAGGAATTGAACCTAGGGGCGCTTAACCACTGGGCCACATGCCCAGCTATTTTTAATATTTTATTTAGAAACAGGGTCTCACTGAGTTGCTTAGGGCCTCACTAAGTTGCTGAGGCTGACTTTGAACACACAATCCTCCTGCCTCAGAACTATATGGGGAATCAACATGTACTTTTTCTTTTTTAAACAGATCTACTACCTCTAATCATGACCAATTTGTATTTTCCTGAGTTGCTGTGATTACAGGCGTGCCCCATGGCGCCTGGCTGGAAACTTTTAAGAAAAAACTTTTTGTCAGTTTATGGCAGAGGAGAAAGATGTTTGGAAAGTCTTAGTCCTGGTGATAAGAGCTACATAAGACTGGCAAGATATTTATCTTCTTCAGCCTTATTTTCTTCATCTATAAGTGAGTTAAAATTACATCATAACAAAGATCTGTGTGTTCTTGGAAATCAATCTTTTCCAAACAACAGGATGGTGACTACAGGGCAGTATGTATACTTCTATTCCTATATCATAAACACTGAAATTTTGTAGGTAATTACTATAATTACTAAACAAAGTGTGATCTACAAACAATGTACTGCTTGTAAATTACCCTACATTATTCTTTTTCCTGAGCTAGAGTCTTGCTATGTTGTCTATGCTGGCCTTGAACTCCTGGGGTCAAGTAATACTCCTGCCTCAGCCTCCCGGGTAGTTGGGACCACAGTTCTGCATGACTCTACCTGAAAGTATCCTTCATTATTAATATACAAAAAGATGCCATTTGAAACTTGAATAAAAATGTGTTTATTCACATTTTTTAGCATTTAAAAATTACCTTTAGGACTGGGATATAGCTTAGTGGGAGACCATTTGCCTAGCATGTACAAGGCCATGGACAGTATGTTGGTCCCCATCTGTAATCCCAGTGGCTCAGCATTGAGGCAGTAGGATCACAAATTCAAGGTCTGCCTCAATAACTTAGTGAGACACTCTTTTAAAATAAAAATTTAAAGGGCTGGGGATATTGCTCAGTGGTAGGAGTCCTCTGGGTTTAATCCCTGGTACCAAAATCCTCATAATCATCATCAAAAACACTGAATGCAGAAACAAAATAATACACCACTTTCATATCACCAAAAGAGCTTTCATAGAATATATATTTTTTAAAATTATGTTACTTTAAAGCAGCACGAAAACTGTCATTTCTATTTTGTGTTAAGCAGGAAACCCATTCAAATGCTTTAACAGCATCAAAGGGCACCCAAAAATTGTGACCATTAAAGGGGAGCCAGAATGAATGCTTCCAGAATACACTGAGACAGACATATTTTATACTATAACACTACTTTCTCTAATAAAGCACACTTCAGAAAAATCACACAAAAAAGGACTGAATTATTAGACGACATCTTGGAAATATACTATGTGGTCACCTTGCCAAAGAAGAATCAAGTGGGGGAATCGGATCCGGCAAGAGACTGAAAAATCAATGAAAAGAAATCATTAGTGGGCTGGGGTTGTGGCTCAGTGGTTAAGTACCACTGAGTTCAATCCCCAGTAGCCCACACTATAAACACACACCAAAAGGGCAAAACTAGTAATTAATTCTAAACCATCTTTTATTCTTTGCTCATTATTCACTATCAAAAGCCATAGTAACATACAAAATATTATCACTTGACATCTATATAAAGAAAAATACTTAATATACTTACCAATCTTCTGTAAAATAATAAACAGGATCCCTAATAATTTATTATCTACAAAACAGCTGTACCTATCGTCAGTGCTATAAAAATTAAGATAAAAATGTAAGGCTTGCTGGGTGTAGAGGCACATGCCTATAATCCCAGTGACTTAGGAGGCTGAGGTAGGAGTTTCACAAATTCAAAGGCAGCCTCAGCAACAACAACGCACTAAGCAATTTAGTGAGAACCCACCTCTAAATAAAATACAAAATAGGATTGTGGTGCTGGATCTGTAGCTCAGTAGCAGAGCACTTGCCTAGCATGTGTAAGGCCCTGGGTTCAATGCTTAGCACTGCATATAAACAAATGAATAAAATAAAGATCTGTTAACATCTTAAGGAAAAAAAAGGAAAAGAGAAAAATAAAGGCATGCTGTCTATCTACAACAACAACAAAAATATAGGGTTGTGGCTCAGTGGTTGAGTGTCCCTGAGTTCAATCCCCAGTATACTTTGCACCCTCTCCCCACCTCAAAAAAAGTGAGGCTTTAGGAACATAGTCTGAGATTTAAAAGCTATTTGTGTGTGTGTATTTGGGGGATACTGAACCCAGGGGTGCTCTACCCCTGAGACCTACGTCCCCAGCCCTTTTTATTTCTGAGATAGTGTCTCCTAGGTGGCTGAGGCTGGCGTCCAACTCTAGATCCCCCTACCCCCATCTCTAATCTCCAATCTCTCAAGTATCTGGGATTACAAATATGTGCCACAAGTCCTAGTGCAAAATTAATTCTTCAGAATCTGAAATAATACATATCACAACATTTCACATTTCTAACCCCAAAGATTTTTCAAAATGTTACCCATTTATTATATTGAGTGGCATTTAGGCACAATTCTAGATTGAATCATTCATATGTATTAATAAATATACAAACATTTTTATTGTGTCTGCCAATGAGTATTGCTATTAACAGCAGTAATTTATTAAGAACAATTAAGAATTGTTTAAAATAAATTTCAGCTATGATTGTTATCTTACCGATTTTTTTGGAATGGTCGACCAACATTCATAGCAGCAGCATTTGTTTTATAAGATCCTGGTGAATTAAAGCCATTCACAAAACTACCATTGGGAAAGGGAGCCTAGAAGAAAATTTTAATGTTTAAACAATATCAATGGTAAAGACAAAAAATGGGATTAGGGTCACAGAAACCTTATTGAGCTTAGCCTCCTTTTAAGCCAAATATTTTATTTCTTTACTTTTGCAATATTCACATCACATACCACTTGACTTATGAATAATTGCTAGTTCATTACTTAATAAGGAATATTATTCTCTGACAAAGTTTCATAACACTAAAACCATTTAAAACCCTGTAAGGACTTATAAGCTACAAAGTAATAAATAGCAACATAAATTAACTACTCTAGCCTATTTCTTCAATTTTCAGGATGGATTAAAAATCCTGTAATTTTTGTTTTATTATCCTATAAGTATCTCACTTACCAGTGGCGTTTCAAAGTAAGGTGCAGGACTTGGAGACCAAGACTGAGGCACAATACTATAGACCGAGTACTGTTGATGAGGATTATATACAGGCTGCATAAAGACTGGTGAGGCATACTGTGCTTGAGTTTGAATCGGTTGACTATACATACTAGAATCCATTAATCGATAACCATTCTTAGCAAAAAAAGTATTGATGGCTTTTATCCTTGCCTAGAAGCAAAAGGAGCACATTATAATAAAACTAAAGTGTATATTTTAACAAATATATTAAATTAAATTTACATTTAACATATATGACTACACTATTTCTGTTTACTGTAGAGTCAGTAGAACAAAAGAAAACTGACAGCTTTATTAACAAGAAATCTGTACACAGGAAAAAATAGAACAAACAAGGTTAAACAATAGAAAAGTCTGAATGGTGAAACTAATTACAACTTATCACAAAGAGTGCTAATATCTCTAATAATATATAAATTGTAAAAAATAGGCATGAAAAAGCTCAAAAACTCTACTAGGGTTAGAAATGAGCAGAATTAACAAAAATGAAAGGCAAATATATGAAACAGATGCTAAACCTAGCTTTTAAGATGAAATTAAATAACACCTATGGCTAGGTACAGTGGTGTACACCTGTAATCCGAGCAACTACAGAGGTTAACGCAGGAGGATTCCAAGTTTAAGATCAGTCTAGTCAACTGTCTAGAACATTTCAAGACTTTATAAAGGCTGAGGATATATCTCAGTGATGGAGCACTTGACTATCATGCTAGAGAAACCATGTTCAATCCTACCACGACAATATATACATAATTAATATCTAGGAAAAAAATGCTCAAAATCACTAATGATCAGAGAAATGAAAATTAAAATCACAATATAACCCCATATACCTGATAAAATGGCTGTTCTCAATAAGACCAGTGTTGAAGTGGATGTAGAGAAAGAACTCTTGAACACTATTGGTGGAAACCTAAATTAGTAGAGCCATTATGGAAAACAGTTTGAAAAAGGCCCTTACAAGTTAAAAATAAGCCTTGGGGTGTAGCTCTGTGATAAAGAACTCGTGTGAGACCCTGGGTTTGATCCCCAGCATAAAAACCAAACAAAAACTCAAAATAAAAACAACAAAGGAAACCCCCATACGTTAAAAAAATATTTTTATAAAATAATAAATTTAATGGTCTCACCACAAAAAATAAGTACACAAGGCAGATGTTATTAGACTGATTTATTCATTTCATAATGCATATGCTTTGCTTATTATGATATAAAATTGTACCTGAAAAATGTATACAATGTCAATTATACCTTTAAAAAACTGGAAGAAAAAAGCACACAGTTATTTAAGAACAGTAATCATAAACAGAATGGGAAATGAAGATAAATTCTCCTTGGGCTAGGGCTCAGTGGTAGAGTACTCGCCTAGCATGTGCAAGGCACTGGGTTCAATCCTCAGCAAATTACTTATAACCAAAAAACTTTAAATATTAAAAAAAAGAAGAAAAGGAAAAAAAGAGAGAGAAAATAAATCCTCCTCTAAAACCCAACACAAATACAGGAACAATTCAACAGTCCATCAATCATGGTGTATCCTCATGATATTCATCAACTATGAAACTTAGGTTCTTCTCTAAATACTATTTTGGAGTGATTTCCAAAAATATACTGTTAAGGGAGAAAAAGAAAAGGTGAGGAGGAGAAAAGTTTATGTAGTAAGGCTATTGTAAGATGGGCATATGACACTTGGATATACAAATATTAGTATTTATTTAATATACTGTGTTATGTGCTCAGATTTTTAAAAATAAAATCTATTCTTTTTAAAGAGGGGGGGAGGGAGAGGGCGAGAGGGGGAGGGAGGGAGGGAGAGGGAGAGAAAGAATTTTTTAATATTCATTTTTTAGATTTCACTAGACACAACATTTGTTTGTATGTGGAGCCGAGGATCGAACCCGGGCCGCACGCATGCCAGGCGAGCGCCCTACTACTTGAGCCGCATCTCCAGCCCCTATGCTCAGATTTTTAAAAAATATTTATTTATGTATTTTTTTAGTTTTAGGTAGACACATTATTTTGTTTTTATGTGGTGCTGAGGATCGAACTCAGGGTCTCATGGCATGCTAGGTGAGCACTCTACCACTGAGCCACAACGTCAGCCAGCCCACATATGCTTAGATTTAAAACAAAAATTAATCTGTATAAGTTACAAGAAAAAGTAAACTAAAATTATATCTAATTTGTTATGTAACAAAGAATTGCTAAGTGAATTTAGCCCATAATAAAATAAACAGCTGATTGTATGTATGTTCCTTAGAAATCATAGGCACAAAATATGGCAAGATAATCAACACTCTTCAATTGTTTTCAGCATTATATTGCTATTGATACTGTTATTCTGATATTTGTGTGCAATTATGGAATAGATTTAATCAGTGATTATATTAGTGTCACAGACATCCAAGATTTCACACTAAAGAAATGAGAGACTGATGAGACTGAATATAAACTACATTGACTGAAATTAAATGGAAAAAAACTGGTAATAAAGGCTAGCAACAACCATTTAGCATGCATTTCACACATGAGTTGTACCTCAGGACAATGGAGACGAGGGTAAGCCTCTAATAAATAGAAAAGAAGGCAATACGTAAAAGGCACAATTCTAAGTCAATGACACCAGCAGCTAGTTTTAGTTCCCTCTCTGTGATATTCTGAGAGCAAACTCAAATCTAATCAAGATTCTTGATCAAGGTACCAATTTGCATGAAATACAGGAGGATAACAATCACATTAAACTACACTCAAGAAACCATTTAGCAAGGCTTTCAAAATGGGTGGAGAATGTCCGATGAAGGGGTTGCTGAGGAAGAGGAATATTCCAGCAGTCTATTAAAATTTATAAATGCAGATTATAAATAGAAAGAGAGATGGGGATATAGTTCAGGTCGAGTGTTTGCCTCATGCACAAGGCCCTGGGTTCAATCCTCAGCATGGGGAGGCCACGGGAGGGGGGGAGAGGGAGAAGAAGAAAGAGGGGGTAAGGGAGGGAGAAGGGGAGAGGAAGAGAAGGGGGAGAGGGGTAGAGAGATGGGGTAGGAGTGGGAGTGTAATTAGCAAACTATAAGGATATGAACATATACCAGTAGAGCATTTGCCTGGCATGCATGAAGTCCCGGGTTCAGTCCCTACTGCTGGAAAATAAAGGGAAAAAAGTATACCCTAGAGAAATTCTATAAGACATTCTTTATTTTTAAAGAATAGTTTAAAAAAATTTTTTGTTTTATTTTTATGTGTGTTGAGGGTCAAACCCAATGCCTCATAGGTACCAGGCAAGTGCTCTCCCACTGAGCTACAAGCCCAGCCTCCAACGTTCTTATAAAAGAAAAAGGGGGGGAAAAAAAGAAAAGAAAAAAGGATGGAAGAGCATTTGCTTAACATGTACAAGGTTCTGGGTTCAATCCCCAGTATGTGAAAAAGACAAGGGAAATCAAGAAAATACAAACACTGAGTATTATCTGATAATAGTAAAAAAAATCAGTGATGATGATACTGTGGCTATTTGGGGATTATATTTTATTGTTTTATTGATACAGCCTAAGCATCTAAAATATGGCTGTTTAAAAAAAAAAAAAGAATCCCTATCCTTAAGAACTACTAACGTTAATTTTTTTAAGATTCTAATTTGAGCCATTTTATTAGCATACAAGAAGGTGTATTATTCACATTTAAGCTTCTGTTCTTCAGAACTGAAGCATTGGTAGCATTGTGCATGAAGTACTTTGAGATCTCAGAGTAGGAAATTAAGTAGAGAGTGGAGGTCTTTTTTCTTTAGTTTTAGGTGGGCACAGTATCTTTATTTTGTTTTTATGTGATGCTGAGGATCGAACCCAGTGCCTCACGCATGCCAGATGAGTGCGCTACCACCTGAGCCACATCCCCAGCCCATTAATTTCTTTATAGATGAAATTAAGTGTGGAATTTGTTTCCAAATAATTTTGTTATGTACACTTTACCACAACAGAAAAAAAATGGGTCATAGGTACATAGTGGTTTATTATACTATGTTGTCCACATTTATGTTTGAAATTCCTGCATTAAGTTTACTTAAAAAGTCAAGCATGATGATGCATGTATGTACAGCTACTCCGAAGCCTAAGGCAGAAGGATCACCAATTTGAGCCTAGCCTAAGCAACTTAGTGAGACCCTGTCTCAAACATCTTTTAAACAAGGAGGCAGGACTTGGGATTTAGTTTAGTGTCCCTAGGTTCAATCTCCAGTACCTAAATAATTAGGTAAACCAACAAAAATTGCTCTAACAAATTAAAAATTTTTAATTCAGACTATGTAGTGATAAACTGCTTTTGGGCGCTCTTAGTAAAAAAAAAAGTATATGGCTAACAAAACCTGTGATATTCATTATTGGGCTGCTGAAATAAAGTTTGGCAATTTCTGCAACAGAATTAATAGATGTTAGAGGGTGGGCTGGGATTGTAG